CTTTTTTTTTTTTTTTTTTTTTTTAAGTTTGGAAGAAATGTCATCAGTAGCTTCCAGAATAAAACACAAATTATGTTTCACTCAAACACATAACTATAAATCGTAAATCCAGAGAAAGTGAGAATTCTCAAGTGGTCTCACAATTCATCTATTTCAAGTCGACAGATTGATGAAAATGTGCTTTTCAGACAGTGTATAGCCTATATGGATGACTCTAGCCTGTCATTATTGAAAAAAACGAGAGTCGTTCTTTTGATTCTGTGATGAAATGTTTTTGTGATAATCAAGCATATGGTCTGTCAGACTATATCTAGGTTCATCCATGCAAACATGTGGAAAATTAGGTCAATTCGGCAACAGTTTTGACAGCTTGTTCTTCGCCCAAGTTAATCTAGCTTACATGAGCGCATGAAGACGCATCACATCACATGCGCACACAAACACTCTGGCAGCTCATCCCACATCCTGTGTGACAGCATGCTATTAAACACACATCAACACGTCAGCTGTTCGCAAAGCACACACACACCTTTCCTATGAGCAGATGTGCTGCTCACACCAGGAAACACAGGAAAGACCAGAGGTGTGTGTGTGTGTGTGGATCTGAACACAATGCATGAAGAATCCAGTGCTGCGCGAGAGCAGAGTGGCAGTTTGTGGCGTGTACCACGGTATCAGGGCGTGTGTTGGGTGAATGCGTGTGCTCATAATATGGGCGACACAAAGCTCCATTCCTGTCACACCTTACCGGCACAAAAACACTCTCGGCCCTGACTAAGAGCTGCGTCATGTGACGGATGGCCAGCCGGCTGGACACTCTCACACCCTGTCCTTCAGCCCATGGCACTTCTGTCCACAAGACTCTGCAGGTCTGTCTTGAAGCGACTGGTATCAGTGATGAACAGCACAATGTGTGAGTGAGTGAACCCTCTTCTCCATTATGAAGCAGTGGTAATGGTTTGGGAAGCAGGGGAACCTGTCGAGTGAGTGCACTTCAGAGCCGCACCCTCAGCTGCTCGCTGACAGACCCTTCATTCACCATTCACGGGATGAAGGAAAAAATGCAATTCATCAAAAACTGACACTATAGAAAAAACCAAAGATTCATGTTAAATTATGAACTCCTATTGTGTTAAAGAATTCTTCCTCCCATTGTGCCACATTGACCAACATACTTTTGTTGAAAAATGAGTAGCTCAGACACAAAATAAAAATATTTCCTAGTCATGATTACATGTAGTGACTATATGCACACTGAGATGCAAAAAACGACAAGTAAAAACAAACAGTATCTAACATTATTTGCACTTGAAATGGGTTCCTCACACTTATTTTCACTGCTGCAGCAGGCTAGTAACTGAGATCCAAAAAACGAACAACCAAACACCCGTTCACAGACTTGGCTAGATAAAGAAACAGCACATCCTTGGATGATTCAGAAGACAAGTCTTCAGTTTCAAGTAAACTGACTCTTAAACTTCATTGGCTCTCATGTATTTCATATTTTAGTCTTTGGGAAGCTACAATAAAGGTTTTCTGTTTTCAAAGTGCTGGTTTTTGGTGAATTGCGTGGAAACCAATGGCGGTCAATTTGACCCCAAAACAAATGTCATAACAATTTTTGTACATCTATGTGTCGAAAACTTGCATTCATATTCATGACCCTAAATGAGGAAAAAGTCACACGATTTCAAGCAGAAATAAATAGTTCAATCAATAATCAAGCAATTCAGTTTGAATGTGGGTCAAGTTCAACACAACAGGAGGGCTAAAGAAATAATAAACTAATAAATAAACTAATAGACTTAAGTTTGAGAGCATGTAAAGGACAATTACATTTCTTCTTCTTCTTCGTACATATGACAGCCTCTCACAGCCTAAGCACATCTAAATAGAAACTAATTCTTCAGCATAACTAAACATTAAACATTTACAAGGCTTTATCTTTGCTGAAAACACATAAACTAACACTTCATGTCGACATTTACTCCCCTGATATGGTTTCATGCAAAGCAAGCTGGGAACTACAGAGCCACTGCCCATTAGTTATGTCAATAAAAACTGTTCATGTAGTCCAGCACAAAATGATTAAGCTAACCTACATTTTACAATTTTAAGTGACTGAACATAATGCAATTCAATTGTGGCAAAATTCTCAAGAATTATGTGGCTATATTATTCTTACAGCTACTCTACTTATATTGACTTTTAAATAGTGTGCAGTGTGTCAAAGTCAAACATGCTCATATGAATAGCTCGATAACCAGCAGTTTCCATCCTCTTTGGTCAATGAAACCATCACACACACACACACACACACACACTGAGACACACACACACACACACACACCCACGCACACACACATACACGCACACACACACACTGAGACACACACACACACACACACACACACTCACACACACACACACACTCACACACACACACACTGAGACACACACTCACACGCACACACACACACACACGCACACACTGAGACACACACACACACACACATACACACACACACACGCACACACTGAGACACAAACACACTCACACTCACACACACACACACACACAGACTCACACACACACACACACACATACACACACACACACGCACACACTGAGACACACTCACACTCACACTCACACTCACACTCACACACACACACACAGACTCACACACACACTAACACACACACACACACTCAAACAACATGTTCACAAAGTGCAACCCCCACGCGACACAAGTGCAGCGCTCACTACTTAAAATGTTCACTTCCTCTGGCTTGTGACACACAACTGATGCACGACAGCATGAGACATGTTCACACACTTGTTTCAGTGAACCCTTCTGAGCCACCTAGCTAGACAGCACTGCAGGCATCACAGCTGAGCACTCGTTGTGAGGAGCGCTCTAAACATCCCTTTTGATGGCCACAATCTAAGACAGCACTGCATGTTCACTTCACTGTGAAGGCAAAGCCAGAATGCATTGCAACAAGTGGAAAAAAAGTAACCGATCAAGAAGATGGCTGTTGAAAAGTCACTTCACACAGTTCTCCTAACCAACTTTAGCATGGCAGAGCAGTTAATTTCACATTTAAAATGTACTAAACTACCAAACCTCTTCATACAGTCTCAAATCAACTCATAACACTAGCAAAGGTACAAACATATACGTAAAACAGAGGGAGCATCAACAGGAAGCACCATACAATGTTTTCTCTGTTCAATGTCTTTACAAATCAAGAATGAGACTCTCTAGTGTTCAGAATTCACTGCAGTAAAGGTTACACGCTCCATGTTTACATGACATTATTCCTAAATTCACCCTTTTGCATTAATAGAAATGAAATCGAGAGGCTGAAGTCCGGCTCAGATTGAGAACGAGCTCATTAAAGTCAGGCTGCATTCTGATTGGCTGTCAGTGTTTTTATCGTTCATCTGGTCCGTTATCGGTCCTCTGTGTCGTTATCGTTAGAGTTGTGCTGTAGACTATTTTTATTGTTATAGTTATTGTCTGTGGTGTGAGCAGCTTTAACACCTGTGCAGGTGTTCATCTACATCTTACTGTTTTGATAGTCTTTCATTGTTTAGATTCAGAATATATTTCAATATGGCATTACTGTATAAATGCAGCAAACTGCTGTCTTATTCAGCTTTCTATTATGTTAAGGCTTAACAGTTTAAGTATGTAAAGGCATGCAGAGTTTTGGTGTTTTTTGTGTTTCTGAGTGAGAAATGAATCCAAGTGATTTGAAAGATGCTTTTGTGTCAAAGCAATGATAATTGATCCACAGTTTAGCCAAACAGATGCTGTTGTGCTCATTGAAAAACTGACCTAAGTATTGAGAAACAGGTCCTAGCCATTGTAAAAAACCTGAACCTTCACTTTAACCCAATACGTGTATGTGCGCCACAAATTGAGATGTTAAACACCAAACTCAAAGTGAGTCGGTCTGCCGTACAGTGCATGCTAGTGTGTTGGTAACCAGAGCTCCAGATTCATTCTTCTGCGCTCTTACCTTGAGTTCCAGGCTCTCGGGATCCTCACTGCTCCCCTCGTCCAGGTCGCTGTCTTCATCCTGCGTCGAGTCCCGTTTGTTGCCGGCGGTGACGCATAACTCTGTGTCTGTGGCAATGCTGTCGTTCCTGTCCTCCTCCTCGATGGGGTCCTCGTTCGGGAAGCCCTCGCTCTCTGTCCCGCAGGAGGGACTGTCAATCCCACTGTCCCGATTGGGGATCTTTCCGCTTGCCTCCGTCCCCTCGTGACCCTGTGGCCGCTCCTGCTCACCGTCTCCATGTTTACCGCTCCCTTCATGCTGCTCGCCGTCTATGTCACTGGGATCATTCTCCAAACCGCTTCTGGAATGTCTTTGATGCTCTTTTTGAAGTTCGTCTGTAATCTCTGCGTCATTGGCAGAGTCTGTCTGGACGGAGTTTAAGTTGGACAATCTCAAAAGCTCGGAGATTTCAAATGCTTTAAATGCAAGTCCATCCTCAGAATCCAGCACTGCTGCCGGCGCCGGGGACTGCATGAGCGGAGGCTGACCGCTGGCATCCGGCTCTCGAGTGGCTGGAGGATCCATGCCGGCTCCCCAATGGAGGTGGTTCCTCCGCTGGAGACCCAGAATCAGAGACCTTACAAGATCAAGGAACAATCAAGGTCTAAAAAATGTGTAGCCTAAGTTTAGCCTCTTGCCAAACGTGTGTAACGTGTGCCCCGTTTACACCAAAAGATGTTTTCAGTGATAGTTGAGCAGTTTACACCTGGTCCTAACATGCATTTAAATGCATCTCCTGTGACCACTGATTTTACTGAGATATTTTCATCACACTCTACAGCACTTTCATGAGAGAGGTGGACGGATACGACTGAATGAATAAATTCATTGCACTGCTTGAGTGAGTGGGAAAGTAAGCAAATGGAAACAGTGTTTGGCACAACACCGTGAAGCTGGAATCGACTGTTTTGTTGTGCTTTCTCAAAACACATCCCATAATGCTCACGTGTGAAGTCAGTGGTTAGCAGGCTTCTTTTTGTGGCTGTTGAAACACATTCGACCCCTTGAACGTTTACATTACTAAAACAATCCAGTCGATGCATTTCGACTCCCTCTGGAATTGGTTATAAGTGAACAAACTCCAAACATTTTAGACCCCGATTGCACCTGCATTTAACATCATCCTTGTGAACGGAACAAAGAAAATGTCTTAATAGCAGGGGCCGGATGCATAAACTGTCTGCATAAGAAGTTGCTCATCTAATCTTATTTCTTCAAGACTGGTCATAACTTTTAAGTCACAAAAAGTTAGACTGGTCTCATTTGAATCTGAAAAGACTGATTAAAACTTGGCTAACTCCTAGTTAGTCAAACTAGCTCTTAAGGCATAGCCTGACTGTTTATGCAACTGGACCCCGATATAAACACAGGGCATTACAGATAAATAACAATCGGTAACACTTAAGTTAACATTACTTAATGCATTAACTAAAGTATTTCTTTTTAATCTTTGTTAGTTAATGAAAACACAAATGTTGTATGTTAGTTCATGTTAGCTCAGGTCCACTAAGATTTTAATAATGTATTAGTAAATGTACTGAGATTAATAAATGCGTTTAGAAGCATTTTTCATTCTTAGTTCACATTAACTAATAGAGTTAACTCAGAGAATCTAATTGTAAAGTGTTACTGAACAAACATACAAGATTTTCGTATATTTTTAAATTGAAATGCGAGTAGTTTGACTGTGCAAAACCCGCTGCCACAGTGCCACTGATGCGCTACACACCCGAGTCTGGCCTTCTTCAGTTTAAGTCTACAGGATTTTATGCCTATTCTGTTGTGCACCAGACAGAAATCACAAGCCCACTCGATTAGAAACATAACCGCACATCTCTCTTCAACAAAGCCACATGATCTGAGGCATCATCCGAGCCGCAGCACACACCTTATTGACGGCTAGAGGTTTGTTCGAATCCCTCATCCTCAAAGCACCACCATACACCCGATTAGATCTTACCTGGAGCTGTGGAAGCCCTGGATGAGTCCTGCAGACGGGACTCTGGCTCTCGGAGGGGGGCTGGGAAGGGGTCGGCGGGGCGCTGGGGGGACGGGACCCCGTGGCAGCAGGTGCACAGGCTTAGGGGGCACTGAGAGAGAGAGAGAAGACACTCAGACCAGCTCTATCTCCATCACAACAGTCCCATTCCACATCCTCCGCTCGCAGCCCAGAGATTCACCCTCCATACTGATCCTCCCAATCCACCCGCCACACCAAAGTCGTATGCAAGAAACCCAGAAAGAGTAGAAGAAAGATGGAGACACTTCAGCTGTCCGAGAAACTGGCAGCTTCCTGAACTGAGAACAGGAAGTAGAGATGAGCATGCGAAAAGTGCTGCGGTTACACAGCAACAGCAAACACACAAACATAACCCCACACACACACACACACACACACAACAGAGTCAAGAAGATAAAGTGTGTACGTGCATGAGTGAATAAACTGCCTCAAATCAGTAAGAATTTGTGAAGTGTATATTGGATGAGTTGCATATTTAGAACTGAATGAAATATAACTTCAATGATGCCATTTTCAAGCTGAATTCAGGAAGCAGATAGTGCTGTGCGCACTTCCTTCCTCTGTCTGTTTTGCACTATTTGAAAGCCACAAAATATCCATGCAAGTTCACAGTATCACAAACACACATGCATGCTGGGAACCCCAAAACAGGACCATTAACACACAACAAAATCATCCTTTTTTCAAAAGACTGTTGGTATGAATGACAGTAAGATGTGTTTAATACCGTGGGGTTTCTGTGCTCTGGGCGTCTTGGGTGTGGCTGAGGGAGTGGGGCGTGGCCTCTGTGTGAGCTGGGTGGGGCATGGCCTGGAAGGGGGCGGGGTTTTCTTCTTCTGAGGCTGCTCTACAGATCCACAGGAGTACTGCAGCGCTGCTGGAGACAAATCTACAGACAAACAAACAAAAACACAAAACATGAACGCTTATGTGATGCCACAGATTTGATCTGATGAAATCTACCAGCAGCCTAGTCAAAGGATAATGCAGAGTTTCTATGTTCAGATATTTTAGTGAACATTACCCAAATTCTTATCAGATTATATGAATTCCTCCCCAAAAAAAGTCTTATTTTAGCTGACTTTTGGTTGGTTTGTTTGTAAACAACAGCTTCCTGGTTTCCTTGTGCATATCATGAGAAAGTTACCAGCTTTAATGTTTACCATGAGTTAGATTGTCATCTAAATGTGTTTTGAAAGTGCTGTGGCTATACTTCCACATCTGTGGATTTTAACATTTTTACTGAGGAGTGTCTTGACCCGTGGACTTCCACTGTAAGTGTACTACTGAACACACAACCTAGGATAATTTTTACAAAATGAGGAACGAGTCTGAATTATTTTCTGTGGTAACTACCACCAGAGATGTAATGAACCCAGAACACTTTTTGATAAAAAATTGTTAAAAACAAAACAAAAATAAAAGCATATGTGAGACATTTCACACAGACTAATTACCATGCTGCTTCTTTACAGAAGCTATATTATCTATATTTCATCTATATGATTTAATCTGTGTAATTCTATATTACACATTATTTCTAGCAGCTGAAAGTCCAGGAACTTCTCAACTCGACCTTCATCACGACCAGAGAGACAGCAGCCATCGCCTGAACGATCAATACAGACACAATTACATCCCAAACTCACCAATCGCTCTTCACCACAGCACACAGAACTACCTCGAATGATTCGGCATTTGCATGTGTTTGCAGAAGCGTTCAGACAGTTTTTAACTGTCAAAACAAAACATTTGACAGGACAAAAACTCAATCTGAACACTTCATCATAAAATCAGTGGGCTGACGTGTGAGAACCTCAATGCACACACCTGCTTCCCACAGACAGAAAATCATGTCAGTAGTTTCTCCTAAACAATGAGATGAAGCGGTGACCAAATAAAAACCATCATCTCAAACTGTGCATACAAGTGCCAGGATAAAGTCTGACTTCAAAGCTACGAGATCCCAATACCACCTCAAACATCAGATATGTTCATGCTTCTAAAGTGGATACTTAAATGAAATTACTGTGATCTCTGATTACTGATATCTCCAAGTCTTGTGAGCAGTAACTTTGAGCAATAACATGTTAAAATCACAAAAAGAAAGAAATGACTACAACATGAGACTTACTGTATGCTCTGGTCCAGATCATATGCTTCTCTCCTCAGGACTGATTCAGTCTCTCTCTCTCTCTCTGTGTGTGTGTGTCTTCAGCCTCCTCCCTGTTACCTCATGAATATGTAAAGCACACACACACACACACCTGGGACAGGTGAGAAAATCTGAGCTGGCACTGGCTGCACCTGCTGTTGTTAGTAGTGCTGAACTCCACCTGCCAAACCCACTTCACACGCAACTCTCTCTCTCTCTCTCTCTGTGTGTGTGTGTGTGTGTGTGTGTCTGTGTGTGCTCAGCTATAATCTAGAGACACAAATGAACTCAATCTGACTAAACCTTCCTTTTACAAACATTCAGGAGCTTCCATACATAATAACATTGTTTCAGTAAGGCAAATGTGACCCTATTCACTTTCTACACACTCTGGTTTAATTATGCACAATTTATTAATGCATGTTATTACAAATACAAAAAAAGGACTCATAATCTTGCAACAAAAAAAAACTAGTTCCAGCTGACATCACCAGTTTCTCATTGTTCCACCATCTGTCATAGAAACACTGCTCCCTCCTCATGGATAAAAGTCCCACACTACATTTATTTCACATTGAATATTCTGTTTTACTGGAAAAAACTATTATATACATTTAAAAAAATTATGTACATGAGACGATCGTGAATGCAGTTCCCTTCCGAGGGAACTTCGAACTGCGTCCTCTAGGGGTCGCTATGGGGAATGCCTTCAGCGTGACCGGTGTCTGAAGCATACATCTTAAAACAACAATAACATTGGCTGGCTACAGACTATGACGTCATTACCCAGCGCAATCACAGTATAAAAGGGAACCGAAATAACACGTCATCCCCTTCCTCATCTTCGTGACTGTTTTGTTTGAAGCGTGCATTCCGATAAGATAATGTATCTCTTCTCTTTAAACCATGGCGAGCACTAGTAAGGCATTTAAGAAGTGTGTGGATCCATGTCCTTGTTATTTGACACCTGATGATGCACACGATCTTTGCGTTTTTTGTTTGGGTGAAGAGCATGCGCGCAATGTCCTAGAGGGGGCAATCTGCATGCATTGAGCTTTTTTCTATGAAAAAGCTCTGCTCTTGTTTGTCTCTCTTTTCGAGGAAAGAGGGACAGCCATCAGCTCCCCATGGTTCAGGACTCGCCGCTGCTGAGGCACGGAGGAAAATTAGCTTGTGGGGATCGCAGGTGGACCTGGCTGATGAGTTGAGAGAGGGTCTTTCCCTTTCGCGCTCATCAGTCGTGGACGAGAGTGAGCTGCTGGATGACCATGCTATTTCTCTTACATCGTCTGTTCCAGCGGCTAGTGCTCTGCTGGCTCCAGGCCAGGAAGAGCAGGAGATGTTGGATAAGGATGAAAAAGTTGAGACTGAGTCCTCTCATTCCTCCTGCCCTGCATACGCTGAGTTGCTTGAGGCTATGGAACGCGCCGCCTTGATGAGCGTTATCTTTCTGATCATAACCCTCCAGCTCAAGTGAGCCTTCCATTTGAAAAAGTCCGTATTCATCCCGCATCCATAGGTTTCAGCATACTAGTTATGCCAATATTGAGGGGATGCGTGAGAACGGTTATGAGAAAATGCCCCCTATTGAAGAGACGCTCGCCAGCTATCTCTCTGTGGGTGAGACATCTTCTCTTAAGGCTCCCTCCCTGCCGTCCAAACCCTTTCAGGATACATCTCGTTTGAATGGCAGGGCATACGCAGAAGCAGGTCATGCTGCAGCTTCGTTGCACACTATGGCGGTGCTTCAGGCTTATCAGGCTGACCTGTTGAACGACCTGGTTAAAGGCCAGGGTTTATCCCCTGATGAGATGGCTGAGTTGACCACAGATCTCACTCTCTGTGCCACTAAGCAGACCACTACTGCCATTGGCAGATCTATGGCGGCCATGGTGGTTACGGAGAGGCATCTGTGGGAGAACCTGGTGGATATCGGGAGGAAAGAGAAGGGCTTTCTCCTTGATGCGCCCCTTTCCCCTTCTGAGATTTTTGGCACTTCCGTCAAGACGGTGGTCGAAAAGTTTAAGGAGGCCAAGACGCGCTAGGCTGCCTTTAACCCTCTGAGGTCGATTAACGCGGATACGCGTTTTGAGGCATCTTCTCCTGATCACACCGAAAATAACTTAAATTACACTTTCAGTTTTGATCTTACAGATAAGAGCAATACATTAATCGAATCTGTAAAGGGTCTACTTTTATTTGTATACACACATAATAACAACAGAACTTTGTGCATTTATAAAATAAAGAAAACAAACAGGGTGCGCAGTCTGCCGCCTTGGTCTGCGTATTAGCAACTGAAAAAAGCACAAATGTCAGGACATGTCAAAACTTCTCCAGGGCCCAAAACACCCTCAGACCCCAGAGGGTTAAATCCTTCAATCCACGAAGGTACAGGTCTGAGCCCAAACAACTAAGGGGTCCTGGCCCGTCTTGATCTAAGGGTCAGAGACGGGCACAGAAGACTAGCGTAGCGACTCGCGCCCCTCCCTCACCTTCAGGTAGGGGTCAAAGGGTAACAGGCAAGATTTGAGGGAGGTGATCCAGATGAGGCGTTCTCAGCGCTCTCATCCGGACCAGAGTAAAACCTAAAAATCTTCTCACGTCCCTTCACGAGTTTTCACATCTGCTCTTATCTTCCTTCCCTTAATTCCCCTGAAGCCACCATCCCCTCTACCTGAGGTTAGGTAGGAGCCTCCTGCGCTTGCAATACAGTCTCTCATGGTGGACCTATGATGTTTTGGTTAGTTTCTATGTCCCATAGAACTACCTACTGATATAGTCCGGACCCAAGGGCTCTTCGAGCTTCGCCTTCAGATGATACCCGTGAGCTTGAGTCATGCGCAGGAGCCGTGGTTGGTGAGAATGATCCATTTCATCTATCTATTGCTAGTTTATGTGAATACACTAACTAGTTTCTACGCAGCGTTACTTGGATCCGTTTCTGTTTTCTGACTGTGTTTTAGGGTTAGGACCTCTGCGAGCACCTCCCCTGCTAAAGTCAGAACCTCTCGCTGTTGACTGATCATGGTGATGGTAGCTCACCCGTCGGTACTGGATCCAGGCTGGATGATAGCCCTGCATCTTCGGCTTCATGCTTTCTGGACCACGCAGACAAGTCGTAGGGCCTCTGCTAGAGCCCTTTTAGCTGATCAGGTCCGCAGTATAATGCTGCAACTTCAGGACCCGCGGGTCCTCCATTCGGGTGAGCATATTCGGAGTATAATGCTTCGTGATGTGCTCCCTGATGTCCTGGCTGGGTGTTTGCTTCAAGAAGGTCCCCCTGGGGTCTCCTGATATTTGAGACATTCGCTCAACCATCATGCATGCTCTCTGAGCTAGGGCTCCTCTCGCAGAGGCTTTGAGTGGCCCAACACTCTTTAGTTCCACTCTGCAGTTCGATAGACGGTCAGGCCAAAGTTAGTAAATAAATCTTTTTTTTATATAAAGAATAGAATTAGAATAGAGAGTGCTAGAGTTAGAGGGTCAAATAAAGATGGAAGAGATGTGTTTTTAGCCGATTCTTGAAGAAGGCTAAGGACTCGGACTGAGTTGGGCAGGTCATTCCACCAGGAGGGAACATTTAATTTAAAAGTCTGTGAAAGTGATTTTGTGCCTCTTTTAAAGCGATGTTCACTTGTAGAACGCAAGCTTCTAGAGGGCACATAAGTCTGAAGTAATGAATTTAGGTAAAGGGGTGCAGAGCCAGTGGTGGTTTTGTAGGCAAACATTAATGCCTTGAATTTTATGCAAGCAGTTATTGGTAGCCAGGGCAAATTGATAAACAGAGGTGTGACGTGCATTTTTTCGGCTCGTTAAAAATGTATCTTACTGCCGCGTTCTGGATTAAGCAATATGATGCAATATGATGGCGCCGACGCTGATGGCTGAACCTCCGCTCTCTACCCAACAAAACAGACGAATTCCTTCTGCTCTCCCGGACAAATAAGGATTTTTCTAACTCTGCTGCTCTGTGTTTCACGGAAACCTGGCTGAAAGACGCCATTCCGGACAGCGCGTTGAGT